GTAATTTTTTTTCCCATTAATCATCCACCCAGACAGCCCTCAGTTCTCTGATTCTCTTAAACAAATAACAACCAAAAAAAAAAAATCTTTTCTTCAACCTTTAAGTGCGGATTTCTATAATAAAAAGCATGGCATTGAGCAGTTATCTCCTCTCATCGGGTTTCCCTTTCATAACTCACAAAGGGTTCTCCTTCTCCCTGTCTCTCTCTCTCTCTCCCCATTCCCCATACCCCATCCCCCACATCTTCCTTTCTTTGAAGCCAGATACACACGTGGAAGAGATAGCATCATCGTAGGCCATGACAGGGCTCCATGATGTCCGGCTTTGAAAAGCCAAGTGACCCTGGGCCTGGCCCCAACCCATGCAATTTCACTGGTGCTTCCTCCCCAAACTCCTGATTCCTCAGCCTATTAAAGTGGGGATAATAACACCAACAGCTCAGGCTTTCTGATGGTCAGGGGCTGCCACTGTTGAATGCATAGATTCAACAAATATTGACTGAATGTCTACTGGGCGCTAGCACAAAGGATCCTAGCCATGGACAAGATGCAGTGGGAAGCCTCTCGGCACTTTTTTTCTAGGGCCAGTCCTGGAGGAGGCATTCTTGAAATGGAAATTGCAGAGTAGAGGTCTCCAAGACAACTGTGACCGATTACAAATTTGGAGTCCTCAGGCCTATCCTTAGGGTTAATAATTTGCTGAGAAGGACTCACAGAACTCACTGAAAGCTACTGTATTCTGTCACAGTTACATAAAATAATATAGATTAATATTGGCCAGTGGAAGAGACACGTGGGGCAGAGCCCAGGGAAGTTCCAAGCATAAAAATTCTAGTTGTCCTCTCCTGGTGAAGTCTCAGACAGCTCTCACTTTTCCTGGAAATCATATATGACCACACACATGGAGATCTGCCAGCCAGGGAAGCTCATGTGAGCCTCCAGATCCAGAGTTTTTATTGGGGTTCGATCACATAGACATGGATGATTGCCCATGTGGCTGGCCTTTGGCCTCCAGTCCCTCCAGAGGTCAAATTGGTACTGGCTGACCCAAGACCCTCACCATAAATCATACGGTCAACATAGGTTATCTTCTGTGGCCTAAGATCACTCAGGTAAACAAAGACACTTTTATCAAACAGGGCATTCCAAAGGCTTAGAGGCCACCTCCCAGGAGCCAGGGACAAAAGCCAACTCTCTTTAGACCGTGTTAATTCTTTACTGCCCATAAGTTTAGCTGCAAAATCTCTCAAGATGTGAACTTCGCTCCGATCCGTGTCTTTCTCTTCCAGCTAATATAGCACTACTCACAAGGTGTGCAAAGATCACACACAACGAAAAGAGAAGGAAAACCATGCAGATTCTCAGCAAACAGGGACTTTTTTTTTTTGAGACAGAGTTTTGCTCTCGTTGCCCAGGCTAGAGTGCAATGGCGCAATCTCAGCTCACTGCAACCTCCACCTCCCAGGTTCAAGCAATTCTCCTGCCTCAGCCTCCCAGATGGCTGGGATTACAGGCATGCGACACCATGCCCAGCTAATTTTGTACTTTTAGTAGAGATGGGGTTTCACTGTGTTGGTCAGGCTGGTCTCAAACTCCCAACCTCAAGTGATCCACTTGCCTTGGCCTCCCAAAGTGCTGTGATTACAATTGTAAGCCACCATGCCTCGCTGAGCTAACGAGGACGTTTAAACAGAGGAAAGTGCATCCATGCTGAGGGATACAGAGAAGCAGATAAAAAGATGAGGCACCACTCTAGGGACTCAAGTATGATCGAAGAAAATGCTGTTGGTGAAAAAGTCCATTGTAGCTCAATTGCTATTGAGTAGCCACTTGGCCCTGGGAAATATATTTAACCCCTTGAGCCTCTTCTGTATCCTTGTCTCTGAAATGAGGCAGTGCTTTGATCTCTTACCCAGGTCTGCCATGAGGAGTAAGTGATGCCATGTGTAAGAAGCAGCAGGCATACTTGGGGCTGAGCCGGGGCCAGTTCTTAGCACCTCGGCTTCACTCTCAATCCTTGGGGTGAGGCTGGAGGGCATAGGGAGACTCTCCCTGAGGTGCTCTTCTTGGAGGCATTTGTTACCAGTGCCTTGACCACTCAGACATTCATTAGTCCTTTGACAGACTGATCAATTTGTTCATTTTTCCATAATAAAGCCTTGTACTGGGTGTTGGATTTTGAGAAGTAATGAAGCCACACAAAGTCTCTTCCTTCAGGGAGTAGCCAGTCCAGGGTGGAAGACAGGCTGCAAACTTAGCCCAGAGGTGGGGTGCACTAGCCCAAGCTCAGACAGCAAGTCCTGAATGCCCTGCTCACAAATGAGACAGATGCAAAGTGGAAGTTCCCCCAATGCTGTGTCAAAGCCAAGCGGGCTGGGCGGACAAGGCAGGGGCCACCACTGTGTCTTCTGGCCAAGAGGGCTGCGTGTGAATTGGCCTAGATATCTGGCCGTGAGAGAGGATCAAAACTTCAAGGACAGGAGATGAGTCAGGTTGTTCGGAGCCATGAGAGAGTGAGTGGAAAGAGGTGGTCCCCAGGGACCCCAAGGGCAGGGCTTTGAGGGCCAAAGTGAGGGGGGATCTTTATCCCGAAGGTGATGGAGAGCCTGTGAAGGGTTTTAATCCAGGGGTGGCATGTTGGAGCTGTGTCTCCAAAAGATGCTCCTGCTCACGGGGCAAGGAAACACAGTATCCTGGTTAGAACACACCTGACATCAACCAGGTCCCGCCACATTCTTCCCAGGAACCTCTGCTTCCTCCAGCTGTCTTGAGAGTTGATTGCTAACGTAGAATGTGCTGGAGCCATCTCCTCCTGGCTTGAGAGAACTCACTGTTAAATATTCAGGAAATTTGTGAGCCTATTCTTAAACCATTGCAGCTTTGCAATTGCCATAGAGGAAGTGTTGACACCACAGACATTGGCAAAAGCTATCAATCAGCACTGTTCCTCCTATGACCGCTGAGAGCTGGTTTACCAGAGCACGGATGTTTCTGAAGACTCGCTGCTGCCTGCTTCTCTGGAAAAGTGTCTGTGATTGAGAAGGTCCTCCTTGCCCACCCCACAGGTATCCTACAGCTGATGACTGGCATTGGGGTTTGAATTCTTTGCCTCACGCCTAACAGTTTCAACTCTGTGGCATCATTCCTGTTCCAGGGTTCCCCATGGTGCTGTGCTAGACTCCAGCTGACACCACATCCTTTCCCAGCCCCTTTCTGCCCTCACTACCTTTTCAGCTTCTGCTTAGAGCCCTCCTTCAGTACACGCCTTGGATGAGGATCTCACAGCATTTGGCCAAGTGTGGCGCCTGGACCATTTATATCACAGTCCTGGAATCCCACCCTGGACCTCCTGAGTCAGAGCCTTTGGATTTAGGGTCCTAAGACCCGCCTTTGGAACAAAGGCTATTTGAAACTAGAGTTTGAGGAAGTTTGGCTCAAGTTAGAGAAACAGAACGTGGCACTTGTCAGAAGGCCTGCAGACCAGCCTTGAACGGGGGACCCAAAAGTGGAACCCCACCCTATGAATGGACCTCAGTGGAGGCATTAAGGAGTTGGATTTTATTGACGTAAGTAGCAAACATTCCTGTGTTCCCAGGAAGGGAGAGGTTCTGTGCCAGGTTGGGAAGAGATTACTGAAATACTAGAGAAAGAAAGAACTCTTCCCGCTGAGAACACGGCTCTTAAAAACACCACCTCCCCACGGCTTCACATCAGCAAAGCCCAGAGATCACTCCAACCACACTTGGAGACAGACAGGACCAAGCAGGCAGATCCGCTGGGTTAGGGAAGAATGTGAGCTGCGGCTGCAACTTCGGCACTTGGCAGAAATTTAGGATGCTCTGCTCCTTTCCAAGATCTGGTTCTTCCTTTTGATGACAAAAGTCACCTTAAGCCCCAGCTCCCAAGCACTTGGAAATAAAATAAAATTAAGTTTTGAATAACAAGTCTTCAGTTGATGGGGTGAGATCACTGCTGAACCACCGTGTCAGACCCAAAGAATGTTTCCATTTCCCGCCGCCTCTCGGGTGACCCCCCTTGAAGGAGGTCCGCCTGCTGCAGCAGGTCACAAATACAGGGCAATTAATTTTTATAGCCCTCTGCTCTCAGCGGCCACCACATGCTGGGGTGAGGTCACTCTTGCCACTTTATTTTTGTCTGTTTTAAAGATGTTGGTGTGTTGAGACTCATTCTTCCCCAATGAGCTCAGATCCCCTGGTTCCCGAGCAGCGGCTCTGCAAAGAGATCCACGGGGGGCGACTGTGGGTGACAGCAAAGACCACTAGCTGATACCGCATGAGCTCAGACGAGTTCCTTCCCCTCTCAAGGCCTTGGTTTTCACAGCCCCAAATGCTAAGCATCGACTAGACTAGCATTTCCCAAATTTCAGTCATTTCTGAACCACCGTTATCATTTTGGCCTGTCCCACCACCTGCACTATAATTCAAGTCACGATCTTTCTTCTTCTGTAAATCACTTCACATTTCTAATTGAACATTTAACTAAAAGGAGACTTGATATCATCATCATAAATGGAAATCAGTGTTCCTTGCCATTAATAAAAGATAACTTCAGAAAGAAATACCTTGACCGCAAACGAACACTGCTAAATTCCAGCCAGATACTGCTGTCTGTGGATGGCTTCAAATTTAAGGCCTCTCTCTCTTTGTTCAAAAGGTAGCTTAGAAGTGTCACGACGTACTAAAGGTTCTAACCTGAGGGGAATAATTTTCACACTATGTAAATCGATGCCCTAAAATCTAAAATCACCTTGCCCTCAACCAGCAGCCTGCACTTGGGACGACACTGGTTTAGATCTTTTCTACAAATCTTTAATTTTGAGTGACGATGTGAAGCTCTAGAGTGCTTCTGGAGCTTTCTTCCAAGTTACCCAGCATTTGGCCAAGTGTGCTGCCTGGACCACTTGTATCACAGATCCAGGACCCAACCTGGACCTACTGAGTCAGAGCCTTTGGATTTAGGCCCCAGCACCCGCCTTTGTTACAAGGACTCCTTGAAACTAGCATTTGAGGGAGCTTCACCCAGGTTAGCGGAACAGAATGTGGCACTCATCAGAAGGCCTGCAGGAACAGAGCAGCCTTGAATGACAGGCCCAAGACTGGAGCAAGAACCCAATCTGGTTATTGCTGGCGGTGTGCAAATAAACGATTCTCTTCTGGGTAAGGTAGAGATGCCTGGTGAACTTATTCAGAGCCAGAGGAGACCCAGCAGATTCCTCTGACTCTATCCTCAGAACGGTGCGGAATGAACCCCACCCCGTGAATGAACCCCAGGAGAGACATTAAGGAGATGGATTTTATTGATGTCTAGCAGCAAACATTCCTATGTCCCAAGGAAGGATGAGGTTCTGTGCCAGGTTAGGATAAGATTACTGAAACGGTTGAGAGAGAAAGAGCTCTTTCCGCTGAGAAGCATCAGCCTAGAGCTGTGAGCGGGGCTGGGGTGCCGGGCTGGCCATCTCTGCTCTTGCACATGGTGAAAACATCTTTCACTCGGAGTTGGCAGTTCTGCCCTCTCTGCCAACAGAAACTTGGAAGGAGCCGCCCGCGCCTTTCTGCTTCCCGTTCACCCTCCCAGCAGGCCTGATTAATGTCCATTTTAAGCCAGGACGTTTATTCTGGCTGTGGAGCCTGTGAACGCAGGGCGCTGTGGAGCCCAGCTTCCCCTTGTTTGTTTTGTGCAGGGATGGCCATTGGGAGAGAAAAGTCAGGTTGGGAGGCTCTGCTGCACGTCCCCTCTTTGAAAATCAGATGACTTCCAAGCAAGGGCAAGGATGATCGTGTGTCCTGAGAGACTGCAATTCTCTGAGCCTCACCTTCTCATCTGAGGCAAGGTAGCCATTGTCCCTTCCTCATAGGGCAGCTAGGAGGAGGGGATAAATTCACATCTACAAAGCACTGAGCACACACGAACATGGTAAGAGAAGCTGTTCTGGGCAGGATAGTGTCCCTCCAAAAATTCATGCCTCCCCAGAACCTCAGAATGTAGCCTTATGTGGAAATGCAAATGTAATTAGGTCAGCTGACATCATAATGGATGAGGGTGGGTCCTAAATTCAGTGACTGGCACCCTTAGAGAGGAAAGGGGTGCAAAGCTGTAAGGACACACAGAAGAGGAGCCACTTGGCCATGAGTCAGACTGGAGTTTCGCTGCCAAAAGCCAAGGAGCTCGGAGGATTCCTGGGTGGCGTGGAATGGATTTTTCTCTTGCAGCCCCCAGAAGGAGCCCTCTCTGCCATCACCTTGATGTTGGACTTCTGACCTCCAGAATTGTGAGAGAACAAATTTCTGTTGCGTTCAACCCCCCAGTATGTGGTTCTTCGTAACAGCAGCTGTAGAACAGTAATGCAGAAACTAATTTACTGAGCACGTACTAGGTACTAAGCGTTTTGTTAACCACGTCACAGATGTTAGCTCCAATCCACCCAACAACTGATGAAGTTGACGCCGTCATCACTTCTGTTTTACAAATGGAGAAACCGAGGCCCTGGTGCTCAGCTGCCCAAGTGCACCCAGGTAAGTGGCAGACCTGGACTTCTTAAATCCTTGTCTTTCTGTTTCCAAAATCTTGTTTCTTCTAGGATCACTCAGCTCCATGAGGCAAGAAATGGGTAGGGCTCTTGTTTTCTAATGACTCTCATACCTGGCAAAGTTCCTGGCACATAGTAGGCCCTCAAGAAAAGTGTAATGACAGTGGCTGGGCACGGGGACTCACACTTGTAATACCAGCACTTTGGAAAGTCAAGGCAGGTGGATTGCCTGAGGTCAGTCTCCACTAAAATACAAAAGATTAGCCGAGCGTGGTGGCAGACACCTATAGTCCCAGCTATGTGGGGGGCTGGGGCATGAGAATTGCTTGAATCTGGGAGGCGGAGGTTGCAGTGAGCCAAGTGAACTATCTTACAAGTGTGAGTCCACATCAAGCTGCTCAGAGGCTGTTGATGAGTTAGGTGTGAGGCGCTGTGAGAAGCAGGGCTGGTCAGCATTTAAAATAAAGCAGAGCATTAAAACTCACCAAAGATCATGATGCTGCCCAGAGCTGTTGATAGGAACCTAGCCGGAAGGAGAGTCCCAGGAAGACAGGGGCATCAACCATGGAGCAAAGATCTGCAGGCTGGAGAGTTTAAGACATTTCCAAAACTTTCAATGTTGTTGTGTCAAATTGGCCAATTACTGTTAGTGTCACCAGAGTTAGGAATTTCTCCTTAGAAGCTCAGTGCTTGTTCCTGGTGGCATAAGTGGAAATGTGTCACAGTGTCAGCACTAATGTTCACACTTCAAGAATGTGGCCGTTCCCCACTCTAAAGGCTCCGTGATCATTCTGTTAGGTCCTTAAATGAGCGGATCATTTTCACAGGTTTCTTAAGCCAAGAAATGTTTGATCCTCTATCATGGGATCAGAAAGGCCCAGGCATGTTTTTGGAAAGTTCAGAAAACTCTGCCTACACATGTCAGCTGGGAGGGCTTAGAAGGAGTTACCTGCTGCAAAATGAACGAACCTTAAGGACAAGAGGCTAAGCAAAGCAAGCCAGTCACGAAAGGACAGACAAGATAATTCCACTTAGAGGAGGCACCCGGAGTAGCCAGAGTCATAGAGACAGGAAGTAGAACGGAGGTTGCCAAGGGCTTGCGGGAGGGGCAACGGGGAGGTGTTCAACCCAGACAGAATTTCAGTTTGATGAAAATGTTCTTCTGGGCCAGGCACAGTGGCTCACGCCTGTAATCCCAGCACTTTGGGAAGCCAAGGCAGGCGGATCACATAAATCAGGAGTTTGAGAACAGCCTGGTCAACATGGTGAAACCCCATCTCTACTAAAAATACAAAAATTAGCCAGGAGGTGGTGGGCACCTGTAATCCCAGCTACTAGGGAGGCTGAGGCAGGAGAATCACTTGAGCCCAGGAGGCGAAGGTTACTGTGAGCCAAGCTCACACCACCACACTCCAGCCTGGGTAACAAGAGCAAAACGCCATCTCAAAAAAAAAAAGTTCTGATGGAAGGCGGCGAGTTGCACAACACAGTAAATGTACTTAGTGACCCTAAGTCATATACTTTTTTTTTTTTGAGACGGAGTTTCACTCTGTCACCCAGGCTGGAGTGCAGTAGCATGATCTCGGCTCACTGTAGCCTTCGCCTCCCGGGTTCAAGCAATTCTCTTGCCTTAGCCTCCTGAGTAGCTGGGATTACAGGCACACACCCTCACGCCCTGATAAGTTTTGTATTTTTAGTAGAAATTGGGTTTCTTCACCTTGTTGGCCAGGATGGTCTTGATCTCCTGACCTCGTGATCCACCAGCCTCTGCCTCCCAAAGTACTGGGATTACAGGCGTGAGCTGTGTGCTTAAAAATATAAATTTTATCCTATGCATATTTCACAGTTTTTAAAAAAGCTTCCCCAAATCTGCAAGCATCTTTGAGATCTGCTCAAAGCTTCCATCTACAGTGAGGAAGTTTCAGCTTGTCTGGAAGCCCCAACTACTAAAAATTGGGGTCCAAGGTTCTCAGGTTCTTGTCACCTCCTCACTGCTACCCCCACCCTCACTACCTGTTGCTGCTCCCACTGACATTGCCCTCCAAGTACTAGCCCCACAGCCACAGTGGCCCGCAATGTCCCCACCTCTGCTGTCAAGAACCAGCCATCAACCACTCCACACAAGCTCTTTTTTCTGTTTATCAACAGAACTGGGGCTGGGAAGGTTTAAACCCAGGGCCCTGGCAGTTTCCATTTGTACATGTTAAAAAGGCGTGTAGCCTAAACTTAAGCCAAGTATGCCTCCGGTAAATATTTGCTTCTCTGAGTCCCCAGGGAACCAGGCCTGGGGCCAGATGAAAGAAACAGAGAAAAGGGAATTTATGCACTGGAAAAAATGGGGGCAAGAAGGACCACCAGTTGTTCTACCCAGCTGTTCCGGCCGCAGCCTGTCCCATCTTTGAGGACTGCACGGGTCCGTTCACGGTGTAGGAGATGGACACTCTGTGTGAGGCAAGACTGTTTTGTGCATGGAGAATTGGGAAGAACATGGACCTGGAGTCAGAGGCCTGGATGCTGGCTCCATCTGAGCTGGACCCAGAAGGATAAAGGGACGCTCGCTGGTGGAAGGTTGTGCTGGTGTAACACTCAAAGGGGCTCTGCCTGTGTGCACAGGGAACAGAATACATGCTTAGTGAGGGGTTATACTGAAGAAAAAGAAGGAGGAGAATGAGGAGACAGAGGAGGAGGTGGGGATGGAAATAGTCACAACTCTCTCTCAGCCAACCCTTGGATCAGTCAAGCTGGCTACTGAGGTCCCAAGAGCCCAATTCAAAGTAGCTGAGAAACAAAAGGGAATTTACTGGCAAATTTCATTTCAAGGCAAATTTCAGAAATAGGTCTTGCTGGCTGCAGGCACGGCTGGATCCAGGAACTCAGGCTGTCTTCTGGGCTCTTTATCCTTCTCCCCTCTGCCTGCTTCGACTCGGCTTCTGGATCTCCTCCTTCCAAAAGGCTCCTGTCCCTTGGCCCCATGCTGGAGACGGCCGCCCCAGCCATTTTAGGTGTGTGAACACAAAAAGCTTCTTCCTGCCTAGCTCCAATCACAGCAATTTCAGGGAAAGAAGCAGGCCCAACCTTTTGACAATAGGGATGGGGCCATAATGGCTTAGGTCAGGTCACCTGCCATCCCAGGGACGCAGGGACCAGGCTCTGCGATGAGAGTCCCAGAAGAATCATGCTTGCTGCTCCCCAAAGGAGGAGAATATGGTCCAACATCATGCACTATAGACCCTTCTTTTCCTTTCTCTTCCTTCCTCTTCCCCACCCTTGACACCCCACTTCCCAGGGACCATTCAGACCATCAGATGACAACTGCCAGGTGGGAAAGGGCCTGAATGATTTCTCAGCCATTTGTGCCCTCAAGTGAATCCATTTCGGGGGCTGATGTCTTCGCTGTCAGTTAAATGGTTCAGATAGTGGAATAAGGCAATGGAGGAGATGCCTGAATGTGGCTGAATATTTCAGCTAGAAGAGGGGCCAGCTTTGTCTTTTGTTTTCTACCCTGTCCCAGTGAGCCAGCCCCTGACCAGGAATGCTCACAAGCGCCTCCACCACTCGTGCTGAATGCCTCTGGAGGCCAAGGCTGGAAAAGCTATGAGAAAGTAGCCATGGGGGTCTCCCTTGGTCTACCCGAAGGTTTTCCCAGGGCAGCCCAAGCCAAGCTTCTTGTGAAGCGGAAGCTGCTTCTGTCACTGCACTTGGAGTGCGTGGAGCACCATGTGGCGGACATCGAATGTCATTCCTGCCCTACATCTTGGCTGAATTCATCAATGCCTTAGGTGGTCACAGCACCCATTCCTCTGGCCACAGTGGTAGGCTCAGGAGTGGGCAGTTGGCCTTAGCCAGGCCATTTGGGGACCTCTCTTAAAATGGCTGTGTTTGGTGCTGGAGGTAAAATGGCTTTTCCCTTTGGGTGTGGAGCTGTGAGGACACCCACAGAGGACAGCTGGGTTGCTACCGGACTGCAGGGTGGGGCAGCCTCTTCGCTAGAAGCAGACCAGAAGCCACATGGAATCAAGTGAGGAGAGACAGAAAATGATCCAGAAGACAAAACTCAAGTCCCTAGATCCAGCCTTGCCTGCAACTAGCACTCTCCCAGAACTTCTAGTGAAAATGAGACAGTACATGTCCTTTTATTTCTTGGCTATTTTGTGATGGGCTTGTGGACCTGCAATAGAAAGACTAAATGGATCCAAAGATTGTCTGGAAGGAAAGAA